GTACATTCCTGCAGCTCCAGCTGCAAAACTTGCGCCGAGCAACTTGCGCCGAGCAACTTGCGCAGAGCAGCTTGCGCAGAGCAACTTGCAGAGCAACTTCCGCGGCGTAACTCGCGCAGAGCAACTTGCACAGAGCACTTTGCGCAGCGCAACTTGCACAGAGCAAGTTGCACAAAGCACTTGTGCAGAGCAACTTGCGCGCAGGGCACGTGCCCAAGCAGCTGTTGCGTGCATATGTGCGTGCATGCGTGCGCGCGGTTGCATTTTTCTGTTGGTTTGTGTGTGTGTGTGTGCGTGTGTATGTGTGTGCGTTTGTGTTTGCGCTTCCTGCGGGTCTGTGCGTGCGTGCGTGAATGAGGAGCGAACTGTAATACTTGTTTTTTGTCTGGCAAATCATGTTCTTTTTTCTGGCAAATGGGTGTGGGTGCGAGGACAGGTGCTGATGGCCAACATGGTCCAGCTGGTGGCACGAGCTCTGGTTCCTCGCAGTTTCCTCAACCTCCACGCGGAAGCCAAGGGCAGTCTGCGACTGCGCGCAGCACAGACGGATTGCGATCTCCTTGTGATCGGCAGCCACACTGCGCGAACTGGCGCCGTCACGAGAATGATTCGAAGCTCGGCTTGGAGAAGAAGCTGCAGTACCTCTTTCTCTACGCAGCGGAAGCCCGAAGTCTGACTTGCATGCGGCACTACGTAGAAGTAGCACACGTAGACCCCGGATGTAGGTCGTGCCAAAAAACGGCGCGTGACTGGGCTGCGAAGACTAACAAGGTTTTGCCGCCCGGTTTCTTCCAGAGCCACGGGCTGTAGAGTTTTTGCTGCAGGAGGCAGTTGGATTTGACGCGGACTCTGCGGACAACCTCGCTTGCGATGTTCTGCTTTGGGGCCAACGGTGGTCTAGTTTTTTATTGGTATACTGCTTTGAAATTTGTTAGTGTGTGTTTTTGAGTTTGTGTTCTTTGATGGTGTTTATTTTTGCTGTTTTGTTGGTATGCTTGTTTGAATTATTTAATGTTGTATGCTGTGATTAAATATTTTGTTGTGGGTTGTTCTGGTTTTTGAGTTGCTTGGTGGTTCTTATCTTGTTTTCTGTGAATTTTGCAGATTTGTGTTTGTGCTGTTTGAATATTTGGTTTTAGTTCTACAATTGCCCTTTTGACTATTTTTGGGGTGCCACTTTGGAGCAGATCGATACACAACAATTGGGCAAAAACATCAATTTCTGCATATACCCTTTTGATGACGCTCCATTGGCGATGACTGTTCTGTATTCAACACGCGAGACCAAGCTAACCAGCTGTCTCACAACCTTTGCAGGATCCTTCGCCACAAAATCGGCACATGCCGAGGAAGCTCTTTCAAGTGTGATGAAGGTGGCTGGGTCGACATAGACGCGATCATCACGGACTATGAGGTGAACCTGTTCCCACCGAACACTTCGAAACGCGAGCGCTACATGGGCATCGTGGAGGTGATGAAGTGGCAGGATGCTGGATACAGGAAGTCAAGAGTTCAGATTCTAGCAGTAAAATTTCCGAGCATCATGAATCCGAACGAAGCGAGAACTGCCAGGCAGGAATTACTCAACACGGGTCGCACCCAGGATGAGGTCAACGAGATATTCAGCAGGTGTGCTGGATGGTACGGGCCCTGGTGTATTCGAGCTGCGACTGGCCACAGCGACTTTGGGTTCCTGAGCTCCTCCGCGCTTGCAAACCGGTATTCCGCGAGGATGGGGGACACGGAAAACCTGCCAAGCAACGTCCGCTGCGGCTGGTCCCCGGTGGAATTGGTGGCGGAAACCGGCTGGCGCTGCATTTCGGGACATTCGCTCCGTGGGATAGGAGGAACTTGGTGACAAAGACCTCGCTCCGCAATCTGCGAGACGGGGATCCAATCGCACGTTCCCAGTGCAACTCTCGCGAGGTACGGAGCTGGAGTCGCATTCAATGGGACGTTTATGGTATTCGACGTCATCCCGTTCTACGAAATCCGATCCATATGGATCGGGAAATGCAGCGATGGGAGATGCTTGGACATCGAGAACGTCATGCGGGCGTACTCGAAATGCGTTGAGAACGAAATCTGTCCTGGTTTCGTTGGTTCGTCCCAAGAATCGGCCCTGATGTTTCTCCGAAACGTCACTAGAGTCATCGAGGGGTCGCCGGAGACGGAGGCTGGCGCCGACAATCTCCACTACATCAAAGACATGGTGGATCGTGCCTGCACATTGTTTCAAGACGGCCAACATCAGGAATTGGAGGTCCTGACCAACGAGATCAGAGACGAGATCAGCAAAACCATCATCCTAAACGACGAGAATTGGGAAGGCTTGAGATGCCGGATCTGTCCATCCTGTGCGGCCACAATTCCGACGAGTTTCTGCATTTGTCTGGAATGTGACGCCCAACTGATTTCCACTGGAAGATTCTACGTCAACGTCAACTCTGACGACGACGATGATGATCACGAACCCAACGTGTCCGGGGATGCAAGGCGAGCGGAGGAGGAAGCAAAAGGTGATACGGCAGCACAAGAAGGAGACGGTGAGATGGATGAAGATCCCAACGATGACGAGATGGGCACGCAGGGGTACACGTCCGGATACGCATCCGAGGAAGAAGACATCGAGGAAGAGTACGTGACAATGACATGACTGCCCGCGACATCATCAATTCCCAGCAGATAGCAATCTGCATGGATGAGGCAAGGGAAGCTCAATATATGGCGGATTTATTGCGCTGCAGATATCAAGGTTGCGGGGGGTTTTTGAGGCTGGCGACAAACGAACAATTGACGCCGCAATCAGGGGGATTCCCGCATGCCCATACCACCATGACTTGGGGCGCTACTCCAACATCACTGAGTTTGATCGGGCTGGTATTGTCTTACCATCTACCGAGCAGAAAATTTCTCAATCTCAGAGTGTTCGGGCAAGGACTTTCAGGTCGATCGAGGAACGCAACCAATTTGTTCGCTTCTCAGCGCCCAAATGCAAGGGACTGTATCTCTTCTACAAGCTGTGGAATGCGGCAACTATCCTCGATGTTACCAAGGAAGAGATGAAATTGCTGGTCAGCGATCGCAAGCACCCGGTTGGGGACATCGTGTACCGGTGTTTCTCACTGGCGTTCAATTGCAAATACATATCATTCGCGAGGACCAGATTGAACCTTGGCAGACATGGGTATGAAGTGGATGTGAGTGCCATCATCGCTGCCACCAACCCGGGCAAGTGCGACGGGCCACTGCTTCACTGGTGCGTCCAGAAAGGGCATTGGCTCGCGGACGGGCGCTACAAGAAGTACGTCCGAGCCCGGGACGCTCAGCGCAACCTGGACGAAGAGTTCCGTCGTCGCATCAACAAGATGGCAATTGTGGATCGACCCACATGATGCTGAGGTGAATCATTGTTGCATTTATGGCATGGTGCGGGCTGGACCCCACCCTCTGCCAGCAACACATTGGTTTAACTACGATGGGACGGATTTCGATGTGATTACAATTTCGCATGTCCGAGGTACATACCTATGTGTATACATATTTCGACGACTATGGCTTCCCAGATATTCATGGATGGATACTATTATCTCATGGGTGCTTTCATTTCCTTATAATATTCATGGTATCTGGAATGGCCATCTTTTGCATATATTGTTCGCCAATTTCTTTTGCCGGTGATATACAAATGGCTTTCTGCCCTACGCAATGTGAGGTTCTTCGGCCAACCCATTTTGGTGGACGACAGCTGCGTGATGCGCAAATACGGCAGCTGGGATCTTCGCTAACTGCGTTGCGGTACGGGGTGTAATACCTCATGCCTCTGTATATAGGAGTGTGATGTGGTCTGCGAATGCACGTTTTTTTGTTTGATCGAACCCGGCTGAGTTTCACAATGAACAATTGGCGCTACAATTGAGCATGAAAGAACGTTTCGACACAGTTTCGTAGTCCGAGCCGTGGCCATTGGGATTTGTTGTGATGTTTGGACCGCGTGATGAACAGTGCGACCCAAATGGGGGATGTTAAAACCCTCCTGGCCCCGTGCCTGTATTGGGGAGCCGTTCTGAGGTCCATGTTCTCTTTGGTTGAAGTGTTCCGATGGATGCCGCGATTTGGCTCAAGACTTGAGTAGGGCTTTTGGTCTTGCATGGACTTGCATATACCTGTGTTCGATCCGAGTGAGAGGAAACAGGTGCGATCGCGCTGCTGATCTCGAGCTTGTGTGGTTATTGAAGAACACCCTTACATATTTCCCACTGGTTTGGCTGTATAGGTTTAGCCGTATATCTTCACCACGTGATTGAGTACCATTCAGCTGGAAGCTTGGTGGACAGCGTCCCACGGGACGTCATCTCGCCTTCTCGACACAAATCAAGTGCAAATCCCACTGGCAGACAGAGTTCACTGTTTCTTTGCATTTTCCAGAAGAGGTGAATGATGCTAAAACATTAGCAATCGTGATGGCAAAGCTTCTCGTTAAGGAAAACCTGGAAGTTAGCTCAAAAGCCATCTAGCGGACTGAGCAGCGAATCAGCGATTGATCTGGTATATTAGCGTGTTTTCTCATCATTTGGCAGTGATTGAAGTGCTAGTCCGAAGAAGCCCTTTTCAGGCGAATGCACCTAGCGCGCGCGCTCGCCATTCAAAAAGTGTGTGGAGCGCTAGATTGAAGAACCCCTTGAATGGGTGTGCCCCCTGCGTATTTTTGTTGTGTTTTTTGTTGTGTGCTTCCTTGTGAGTTGGTTAGTTTCTTTGTTTGTTTGTAGTTGCGTGTGTGTGTGTTTGTCATTTGTTTGCTCTAATTATTCAGGTTTGATGACCTAAACATGTGCACGGCGGTGGGAGAGCAGAATCCCTCTTGAATGAGGTTGCCCCCTTGCGTGTGCGCTTATCATTTTTATCATTTGGCGGTGGTTGAAGCACAGATCCGCAAAGACCGCGGAGTAAATGCGCGGCAACCCCCCCAAGTGATGGAAAGGTTGTGGGGAATCCCGCAGGATGCCTTTCTGGAGTGGGAAGAGGAGGTGACTGCGAGGTGCCCAGCAATGCGTGGAAGCAACAAAGCGACGCCCACGGATGCTGTGGCTGCTTGCCCAGTTGATCCTTTCCGCCCAGGCTTCACAAGTCTCCTTGAGACAGTTGCTTTATCAGCTGACATGCGAAATGCAGAGGCAAGCCTTCCAACTGCGGTCACAACAAAAGACCGCCTACTTTGGCCCCTATTTTCCCCGGAGTTTGCTCCACAAGCCCAGCATGCAGCCGCTGGTAGCTGGTGTGACAGCTCAAAATCCTATTTTGGAGAGCTACTGCAAGACCTTCATCACGCTCAACAAGGCATTGAAGAGCACGCAATTTGTCCCTTGCTTGTTCCAACATTCAGCGCTTCACACCAAAAGCTTGAACTTGATGCTGTGCCTGCAGCACATCGCGATCTAAAGCTGGTCTCCGAGATACAGATGCATGCCATGGCATCTCAAGCAATGCTCAGGGAGAGCATAAGGGCTCACATACAAAGAGTGCAAAACGCATTGGGCGAGGTTTCCGAGGTGCACCGTGGCGCAACATTCCTTTCTGCTCTACACGTGCATGTCAACATGAAGCAGGATGATGCTCAAGACATCGTGGATTATGTGCGCTTCCAAATTGAGTGGTGTGCTCGGCAAATCCAGGATGCGTTGATGAATGCCCCTGCCATGTCCGCAGTGCATTGCCTGGCGCTAGTTGTCCACGGAGTCCGAGGCTCTGACTCCGACCGAAGCATTCGACCATTTCTGCTGGCAGGGCCCCACACGGAGCCCAGCAACTGTCCTGTGAGCACTCGCACGTGGACTGGCATTGCTGTGGATCATTTCTCACATCTTTTGCCATGGGGCATGCGGCCAGAGAAACTGTCCAATGCAACGATCAAGGAGATGTTGGGCATTGAGGACGAGTCAACCGACACGTTCTGCCTGATTCTAGCTGATGCTCTACCCCATGTAGTTCCTCGCTTTCGCCAAGAATCGCAACACGTTGACTGCTTCATGGTGATCCGACAGCTCATGCAAGCCATTCATGGCAAGCCCGAGCTTGTCCGAGCTATTCGTGCTGTGCTTGCCGAAGAGCTTTCTCAAGAAGAGGCAGGCAGCAAAAGCGTTTTGAATCCCAATGTTGCGGTTTGCTCTCCAGCCCAGAGGGCTAGGCGCCAGGATGGTTGCAAGTTTTTTTTTATTCTTTACGGATGGAGTCTGCAGGTTCAAGAAGGCAAGCTTATGTTAAGCTTTGTGCAAACGATTGCGCAATGGCCTGGGATGTGTAGGTGTACCCAGCAAACATGACTGTTCAGGTCAACTGGCGCATGGAAGTTGCACAGGACATCGAGCTGTTGAGACGCACCGGCCCGTTTCAACTCGCGCTACTTTCTCATCTTCGACAAGACGACAAGATTTTGCCTGCAATGCAAGCTGTGTGGCAGCATAGCCTGCACACCAGTTGCCCCAGCGGACAAGAGACCGAACCTCCAAGTTTGGAGTTGCGAAAGCGATTCTGGCAGGGGGTAGCAAGAGCGCTGCTCAACGACTTCCTTGGACAGCAAACTCCACCGCAGCACATGCAACTGCTATGCCAGCTCCAGGAGAAGCAGATCCTGCTCATGCCTGGAAGCACTGTGGTGATGCAGCTTCTCTTGCCGCAGGTGGAGCTTTCCAACAACCTCAGACCGTGGGACCAGATTGATGTTTCCCCTCCCATATTTTCACAGTTCAACGTAAACCAAAAAGGATTGGACAAATAATAAAACCAATAACGCTTTATTGCCAGAAGCATGACGCATGACATTTCCGTCATCCTCCCCCCAGGTGCTCTCGAGCGGCGTGCTCCAGCGCGAAGACTTTGCGCACAGCTTGCTGGAGTGTAGTCATCGGCTCGGTGTAATGATGCAGCGGTGTTTGCCAGGCGCGCTTTGGGAAGCTTTGCAGCAAGATGGTGCTTCCATGTCGAAGATTGGCCTGCTCGGTGATGATGTGATCACGGAGATAGCTGCGCGTGCATGCGCTGCCATGCTTGAATGGCCAGGCAATGCCATTTTTGAGTCTGTCCGCTCACATCTTCACAAGCTTACAGCCATTGTGGTGAGCAACGTGACGCAGCAGGCGCCAGCAGCTGCGGTGCTTGCAGACGAAGATCTGCCACCAAGGGCGCTTTTGCCTGCAATTGCAGCTGCATCATTGCTGCCAGTCTCAGAATACGTGGCAAGTTTGCAGGTGCGGTTTGGGGTCCTCAAGGTTTGCTGGCGGGATTCCTTGGAAGGATTTCTTGCAAACTGGCCGGCCAGCGCTTCCTTTCAGATGATACGAGATTGTGGCATTCAAGCTGCATTCCGACTGCATGCGAAGGATTTGGAGACGAAACTGGAGGAGAACGATTCTTTCGTTGGAAAGCAGGCACTGGGCCAACTTGCAATAGCCATCGAAGACTTTTTGATGACAACGAAATCTCGAGACTCAGAGCTGGTGAGAGTGGCAGTGGTCAACCACATGCTTGCCGCACATGGGACGGAGGGCGAGACTGAGATCAGAAGGCACATGAGGCCGGTGGTTCCAACAAGATTGCGAAATACAACATGGTTGCTCGTGGGTTCCTACGTTTTATTGCTGTGGCTTTGTCAGCTCGCGGGAACTGGTTTGTCCCAAATGTGAGGCTTCCTAGGTAGTTTGCAAAACCTGCGCGGGTGGCGTGCTTCCCTTTGCCATGAATGCAGCCTCAACGAATTTCACGGGGTGATTTGACCTCGAGAAGATTGGGCTTGCGGGCCCTGCAGCTTCCGGGGTCATGTGCCAAACCAACCAAGCTCAACTACAAACTAGTCCAGCAAGCCAGTGGGAAACCTCTTTCTCTCCAACATCAGCTTCAGCTCATCCAATTACGTCCCTTGGTCTCTTGTGATCACGTCGCCTTGTTTGTCTTGGATTATTTCGCTGGCACGCGCTTTCACCCCTTCTGCCTTTCATCATGTCTCTCCTGTGGTTGCTGGCTGAACTCCAGAGGAAGACTTCTCACTGGCGATCAAACAGAAAGCCTTGAGCCGTGCTGCAAGACTGACGTGGGTTGCCTCCGTCAAAAGTCAACCAAGCTCAAACACTTGCTGAAGAGCTGCTGAGACGGTGTGGACCATTGGCTGGCTTGTTCTTGGGTCATAGTATTTGGCGCAGCATGTCAGCTCTGACCCCAACGTGCTGATGCAGATTTAGATTGTAGCAAAGACAAACAACAGCTGAACTCTGAACTGTTGAACCAGGTCGACCATCGTGGTATTAGCAATCTATAGATCTCGCTGGGCTACACTTGTTCAAAGGGCATATATATGTTACCGCGAACTCTGTGAAATGATGCTGATAACGACAATGTCTGACAAATCATCTAACATAATTTTCGACATTCAGGAACGTGGAAGGAATAAAGTGAATGAATGTGTGAATGTGTGAAACTATTTTCTGGGCCTGCGGCCTCTAGCCGGCTACGCCTCTTTAAAGTTATACCATGTCATGTCATGTTTTTTGTATGAGAAACGTATCCTGTGCTATGATATGGCTGGTTAGGTTATGCATGTTGCCCACCCCAACCCCAGATGATGCAGGGGATGCCAGCTTTCTGGGCCCCAGCCGGGCCCCAACCCAGAAGGCTGACATGCAGCCCGCAAGCCAGCCCGGAAACGCAAATGCAACAAACCACCGTAAATAGCAGCGTTTTGTGGCTGGGGTCGCGCGCGCGCGCGCGCCAGAAGGCCCGAAAACCAACGGGAAAAAAGCAAGGACCGCGCAGCGCGCGAGCCAGCCACAGCAACAGCAAAACGGACAGAACAACAACAGACCGCTCAGCACAGCAGTTTTTGACGGTATTTACAGCGTTTTGTAGAGCGAGGGCCCAGCATCGCCGGCATGCCCGGCAGCGCTTGGCGCTAAAATGCGCGAAAATGAGCCTCACTTACTGGAGGGATTACCTTCTAAAAAACAGTGCTTCATGGGTTGAGAGGCTTTTTGGAAGGAAGTCTTGATGATGCAGACCAAGCCCCGCTGAAGCATCACCCAGGCCCAACCCCAGACCCTGATGGTGTCAGCCACATGGCTTAAACCCTGCATATACGCGATGTTTTGCAAGGGTTTCCCACAGGCAAGCAAAACCGCAAGCCCGAGCTGGTGATGCAGAGGTGCCGGATTTAGGCAGCGCATCACGACCAAGCGGCGAGGGTCGGCGGCGCCAGGGTGCAGCCCCTATAGCTAAAGCTAGCAGGCTACTTGCCTAGCGGCGACATGCTACCCCAGGAGGCGTAGCCGGATTCAGCAGGCTGACGCCTGATGCCGCCGACCCCCGTACAGCAAGAAACCTTGAGATGAGCTAGTGTCCGTGGGCAAAGCAGACAAGCAAGCATGCCCTTGGGTCAGAACTGCTTCGTGTGATCTTTGGCCAGAGTCCTCGGCCAGCAACTTGAGCGAACACAACCCCCCCTAATTTTCCCAGCGGTCGTTCGATAGCAATGTTCATTGTACAGTGGGTTGAACTTACCTCCCGCAGAGGCCAACCTGGAAGCTCTAACGGAACAAGGTAGTCACGAGCAGTGGGAGCTTCCACAACAGGGAAGCAGTGAGAGATGATGACGACGCTGATGAGGATGATGATGATGATGATGACTTGACGATGATGATTATTCTGATGAATGATGCTGATGATCATTATCATAGCCATCATCATCAACCACCGTCATCATCAACACTATCATCATCATCATCCATCATCATCGGCATCATCACCTCCTCCATCGTCATCATCATCATCATCATCATTATCGGCATCGTCATCATCACCATCATCTTTAATCATTATCACTATCGTCTTCGTCATCATCAGGGTTGGAGGTTAGGGTTAGAGGACCGTTTTTACCGTTTCTACCGCCCCAAGTCTTCCCGTCATCTTCCCGTAGTCTTCCGTCATCTTCGTGTAGTCTTCCGTCATCTTCCCGTAGTCTTCCGTCATCTTCCCGTAGTCTTCCGTCATCTTGCCGTAGGTTAGAGGTTAGGGTTAGAGGTTAGGGTTAGAGGTTCGGGTTAGAGGTTAGGGTTAGAGGTTAGAGGTTAGGGTTAGAGGCGGTAGAGGTTAGGCGTGTCAGAAATGCGGGGCCCCCCCTCCCCCCCTCAGACTCCCCCTAACCACCACTTAGAACACGCCTTGCCCCTTTGCAGAGACTAACTTGGGTTTTTCAAAGGGGTCGGCGGATTTGAATGAATGAATCAATGAATGAATGACTGCATGAAGGATGTTAATAGGTAAATGAACGCACGAATGAGAAAGAGTGAATGAGAAGATGCGTGAAAGGTTGAACCAATGAAGGAATGAAAGAATGAATGAGTGAATGAATGAATGGATGGACGGATGGATGGATGAGTGAGTCAGTGAATACATGAATGAGTGAGCGAATACACGAAATGAGTGCGTGAATGAAATGAAATGAAGTGAAATGAAATGAATGAAATGAATGAAATGAATGGAACGAGTGAAATGAATGAAATGAATGAAATGAATGAAATGAATGAAATGAAATGAATGAATGAATGAAATGAAATAATGAAATGAATGAATGAATGAATGAATGAATGAATGAATGAATGAATGAATGAATGACTGAATGAATGAATGAATGAATGAATGAATGAATGAATGAATCAATGAATGAATGAATGAATGAATGAATGAACGGATGAATGAATGAATGAACGAATGAATGAATGAATGAACGAAAGAAATGAACGAATGAATGAATGAATGAATGAATGAATGAATGAAATGAATGAATGAATGAATGGAATGGAATGGAATGGAATGGAATGGAATGGAATGGAATGGAATGGATGAATGATTGAATGAATGAAACAATGAATGAAACAATGAATGAATGTATGAAAGAATGAATGAAACAATGAATGAATGTATGAAAGAATGAATGAATGAATGGAATGGAATGGAATGGAATGGAATGGAATGGAATGGAATGGAATGGAATGGAATGGAATGGATGAATGATTGAATGAATGAATGAATGAATGAATGAATGAATGAATTGAAATGAACGAAATGAAATGAAACAGTGTGGGCGCAATCCACGTCTGAAAAACAGACGCGCAGCGATTCACCGATACACCGACACACAGACCTCCAGGCAGAGACACCGACGCACCGACACGCCGACGCACCGATACACCGTTGCACTGACACACCGGCGCACTGCAAACTGGCACCGATACACCGACACACGCCTTTCAGTGTGTTGCCTTTAGGCTTGGTTGCCCTTGGCTTTTGCCACACCGCTACGCAGACACAGCGCTCATGCTCCTTCCATCTTTTACAAGATGTAAGCGAGCTGGCGGGGGTGCCAGTGTTGGGCACAGCTTTTTTGCCTTTGCCAAGGCCGCTACGCATTACCTTGGCGCGCTTGCCTCTGCACCGCAGCCGCCCGGCTCTCAGATGCAGCTGCCTCTGCTTGCAAAGCCCCTCGGGTCTTGCCAGCGCAGTTGGGCCTGCTTCGCATCTGCCGGTCTTGCCCTCCACGCCCAGTGTGGTCTGAGCAGTCCCGACTTAATAAGACAAGCAGGCTTGTCGGGCTGCCGGCTTGCTTCAGATTTGCAGCGCTTGAATGGGCTGATTTGTTCAGGCTTGGAGCTTGCCGCTCGGCGGCTTGCAGTGGGCAAGATGCCCCGCGCCTCATTCGAACGGCGGCATCTTTTGCTACGAGCGGACAAGATGGGCCGGGAAACTGCAGCAGATCCCAAGTGTCACGATGGACTGCAACCCTTTTCTGCAGCACTTTGTGGACCTGTCAGTTGCGAATCCGGCGCCTTGTCGCGGACTTACGCCCGACATGGTCGGGGAGGAAGGCTCTCGCGCCATGTTCATCTTGGACACTTTTCTGAGGCGGCGCGCGCTTCATGCACACTGTGGGCTCGTGAGCCCAGTGTCTGGTAGCACAGCGTGTTCAACCTCGGCAGGTTGCAGACGCTGCCGGCCTCCCTGCTGACCAAACGTGCGCCTGGAGTATGTTGCTGTTCAAGTTGCTGTTCGAGTCACTCGTGCTGCCGTTCTCCTGAGGCGCTTCCAGTACAGAGTTGCTGTTTTTAAGGTAGCGTGGCCCGACACCTGAGCTTGTCATTGCCTCGAACCCTTTTGAATGCTAGTGATAGCCCTACAATGTGTCTCACCTAGTGCGATACATTGCACGGGTTCTTGATACACAGTAAGCTTCCTGACTGACGCCTGCGGCTTTCTTGCAATATCAGGCTTGATTGCCCCTCAGCTTTTGCCAGGGCCAATATAGAAAGTGAAATTTTCCACGTCCGATTTCGCCCGAGGAATGTTGTGGGTGCCTGTTTGGCGAGTTGGATGTTTCAAACCTGTTGCCTCGCATGTTCTGTGCAAACTGTAGAGGCTAGTTCATCGCACTTGCTCGTCAGGATGCAGTGTAGGTTGTTGCTCAGCTGCACCCATTGCTCTGCTACTGCTTGTGAGGGTGCTGCTGTCTCAGGTTTTTGTGACAGCCAGTTG